AAAAAAAAAAAAAAAAAAAAAAAAACTTGCAAATTTGGAGCTAAAACCATTGGGTGTCTCACATATTGATCGAGCATGTTTTTTCATGTGTTGTTGTTTCTAATTTTGAGATTTATCATTAGATGAATTATAAAAGTAAAAGAAGAAGATATACGAAAAAAATGATATATATATATATATATATTTTTTTCCCAATTCAAAGAGAAAAAATTGAAGATTTGAGTTCGTTCGAATGGAATGTTATACCTTCCTGGTTTGTTGCCATCACTTTATAAAGTAATGTTAATTTCGAAAATTAATTTTTATATTTTGGATTTTTCAACTTAATTGATGATTTTTTTTGTCCATATTTATCTAACTACAAGAATCTATATAAATATAAAAAGGTTTGGTATTTACTTGAAATAGAAGTAAAATTCCTGCCTAAATAATCTGTTCTTACCTTTATTAGTAATTTTCATAAATATTTTGAAAAGTGGTGCCAATCATTTGAAATTCAAATTAAAAAAATTAATTTAATTAATATATAGAATCGCTTGGTCAATTATTACCTTTATTAATTGCATGGCTTAGGAAAAATCAATTCAAATCTAAAGTATTATTAATTTTCACAAAGACTTCAAATCGTATAATTAGTTCTGATTTTATTTCCATAAAATATGTTAACAAATATTTAATTTTATGTTATTATTCTGTTTTAATCTCAACAATCCCCAAAATCAATTCAGTGAAAATAATTTATTTAAACAATGATACACAATTATCTCCTCAAATACTAACCTTATTTATTGAAGCTGCGATACACCATCTATTTAGTTCAACTCTTCATAATCTATTTAGTGGAGAAGGAGATTCATTGGCGATTTTTAGAGGGCATCCAAGTGCTTAAGTGAGCTAGAGATGTGTTTCAAGCATTTGTTAATTTAGTTCTATGTCACTTGAATTATTTTTCTCGCTGCATACTGCATTTTAGGCATATTGACTTGAGGCATTAGTTTATTGTTGGGTAACATAACATTCTAGAGTTCTAGACAGAATGATAATTGATAGTAAATTATGGTTTTCCATAGTCTTGGTTTTTTTGTCGGTGTATATTATGAAATAATAAAATGGTAGGACGTGTCTTTAGAGGAGACGAACCTCTTAAGTATCAGGAAAGTATGGATTTGCTCGAGTTGGTCGAGTCATTGAAACAAGAGCTTGAGGTAGAAAAATTAAGATGCAACATATGAAACATGTAGTTTCATTAAAGGTAAGTGGATTGAGTGATTGTTGGGGTAGAAGTAACGAAATATGACTGATCGAATGCTGATTATTGGGTTATGTGGATTTTTCTTGCTGGATGATTATTCTTCTTATTAATGGTTTAAGAATACTAGGTCATGTTCGAACCAGTCATTTCTTTTGTCTTAATGAGTTGTATGACTCATCGTTTTGCGATTAGTATTGCTTTTCTTGGACTACTAGACCTTTGATTTTCTTTATTTTTTTTTTAATTTTTATATTTTGATTTTGGCAGCATAATGTTGAAGTTTGAATTGTGCTTCTAATTATATTGTGATGAATATGTTGTGATACATTCTATTTCTATAAAACAAAAAAATATACAACATAATTATCTCCTGGAAATAAATTTTATCATTAAGATGAAAAAAAATCCGATATAATCATTTTGAATAACGCAGGATCATGTAATTTTTTTTTATGAACAAAATTTTAATTTCAAATTTTTTAAACTGCATGATACATTCTGAAAAAATGATATATAATATGCTTATCTCTTATAAAATAATTGGATAATGTAAGTTCTTTTAAATATCAGATAATGCGATCATTTGACTATATATACGAACATACCATATTTTATTTAAAATCGAACTATATTTCTTTTGTCAATAATTCATATAATAAGTTTTGGTAAACATGCGTGACATTTGGTGGTAAAAATAAAATACCTATATTTAGATTATTTTCCCAAAAAAATAACAAAATTTGACGAATTTTATCACTTGAAACAAAATCTTTTGAAATATAGGTGCAAATTTTCTTTTGGATTTATTGACAAAATTCTTTTGTATTTTAAAAAATTCATAATTATTTAAAAAAAATTAAGTAATACACGTGATTTTTTTTATTTTTGGAAACAAAATTCCAAGTTCTTTTTTTTAGTAAAATCTCGTGATACATTAAAAATAAATAAATAAATATACAACATGTTTATCTCTTGAAAACAAATCTTATCATTTTATTATATAATTTAAGTTTTTTAAATTACGGATTAAAAAAACAAGTCTTATAAAATCATTTAAAAAAAGTGGTACTTAATATGATCAAGCAAACAAATCTTATACCATTATCAACCGGATAGTCAATTATCTAGAGTTTGATAAATTACTCAACTACTTAACTTTTTTATTTGATAGTTTATAGAAATATAAATTTACTTTAATTAATGAAAATATTTATTTTATGGATTCACATTAAAGTCAAATAAAATTTCATAATAAAAACATTTTAAATGACACTTATTTTGAAATGAGTATAATGTAATTTATTATCAGAACGTGCACCGTACGATTTGTATACTAATTTTAGTTTGACGTGTTTTATGTAATTTTGAACAATTTAAATTTCATGAAACAATTTTAATTAATTAATATAGGTAAATTGTATTACATATTGATTCAATGTTTTTAATTTATAAATTATTTAATGAGCATTTTTAACTTGTAAATATTAACGAGTATCTCTTATCTCTTACCCATACGCAAATTTTATATAACATATTGATACATTATTTTAAATTTATAAATATTATTTACTGAGAAATTTTAATTTATAAATATTATTTAATGAACATTTTTAATTTATAAATATTAATGAATATCTTTTACCCGTGCATCGCACGAGATTCTTACTAGTCTCATATTATGTGAATTCATAGTACCCATATTTTTTACACATTCATTTTTCATCTCATATATAAATTACATATTTTAATGTGAATTTTGTATATCTCATATTTATTAAATATATATATAATGTTAAAAAATATATTTTTAAGCAACAAACCGCATCGCACGGGATGCGCATTAGTTCCAAATCAGTACCCTAAGATTTTTTTGAAAGTTTTACAAATCTAAATTAAATATAATAGGAAGTCTTAAAAAGGTTTTAAAAATGTCAAATGAACGAGTTGCAAACTGTTCTTTAAGAGAAACAAACATGAGTTTCAACAGTGTAGGTAACCAACTGTGTGACAAGCAAATCAAACACCTTACACCCGGATATATAATTCTTATTATTTTTAGTATTGTTATTATTAATTGAAAGGGGAATTTCATTCTTGTAACATGCATAAAGAGGCCGCCAAGTTGCAGGTACGCCGCTCGACATGGCCGGAAAGACAACAACGACTCACTTACGGCACAAAACATGACACCGTAAAAAAAAAAAAAAAGGAAGACAGAAAGTAAGAAACTGGTGATAGTTAGACCACAATAACCCCCTAGAGAGAGACATGTAGCTAGCTCCTAGCTACCACATGTGGTGTTCTTAAAGGAAATAGTGTTTTGCTTGAGGTCGATCCCCACCAAAAAGTCGGTCTGTGCCAGGTTGCCGTATTGGGGTATTCCGTTAGTTGACGGAATAACCGCCATGCACAAAAACATCCGGCCGCCATCATCACTTGAACCTACATTTACCAAAACATTGTTGTACCCCAAAGTCACGGATTTCCCGCCCATGTAAACTGTGACACCTGGAAAACTAGCGCTCAAGTCCTTGTCAGTAGTGTTGAAGCACAAATCTATGTTCCAATTACTTGGGGGCTGCACTGGCATCAGCTGTGCCTCTTGCGTTGCCCACTTAGTCACGGCAGTCTTTAAC